AGGGGGAGAGAGTGAGCTGGACCGAAGTGTGGTTCTTTTTTTTCTCGTTTTCACTTGAAAATGCGCAAAACCAAAACGAGAACATTCTCTCGCGAAAATGTGATTTATTTAAATATCGCTTTTGTGTGTATGTATATTTTTGCAAGCTGTTTGTTTTCATAGATGTGAATTAAACGAGTTAGTCGATGCGATAGATATTAGCGCAAAATAGCACGAATTTGGATTTACATTGGATCGCATCGATGTTGAAAAAAAAAATAGCATTTACCATCAGTGTGCGGCTACACACATGATCATCAGTGGCAGACATCTGACAAAAATTTCGACGACCATATTTTTTCTGCATCCTCAACCATCAGATGTGCACAATAATATGAGGGCATGGCAAATCGTTGCTGTGTTGGCACGTTTTAAACGATATTCGTGTATATAGACACTGATGTGTGTTCACATTATCAGCGTCACGTTTTACTATTTTATAAAAACATATACGCATAAACGACAGAGAAAGAACAACAAAAAAAAACGAAAATTTAGAAAAAGAAAGCAAATAGACTGTATATATTTCGATATGGAAAATGATGAAGTTATAGAAAAGACGAGCAACTGAGATACGATAAAGGCCAATATATTATGTGAATGGGATTGAAAGGATATAAATGAAATGTGGTAAACGAATGGAAGGGGAAAAAAACCAAGCGAATAGTATACACTGATGAACAGTGGCTGTAAATGAACACAAGAAAGAAGAGAAAAAAATGGATCGAAGAAAGAATGAGATTGGATGACGGTGACACTAGCATTCAAATAACTCAGACACGAAATAAATCAATAAAATCCATTTATCTTGATTTTGTTCATTTATATTTGTATTGTGGCATAATGATGGCGGAAAAGAAAATCTGCGTATTTTTCTCTAGTTCGATATTCGATTCTTTTTTTTCCACTCTCGTTGCTCATATTTTCTATACTGTATGCGATGCCGTTGCCGATATCACATCATTTAACCCGAATATAGAAACAAAACGGCAAACGGTCGTGCCACATTCATTTTGCGTGCATTCATGTAACATGAGAAGCGATTCATGTTTTAGCGGCTTTTTCTTTTGAAAACGCTCAACTTTTCGAAACACGAAGGAAAACCAGAACGTAAATATGTATACATACATAAAACACCATACATATCAAGAATGAAGAGCTTAAATGGATCGCTCTTAGCATGTACCACGCACACATACCATAATTCCTTCCGTTATAAAATCTTTTTTCTTCGTATTTTATTTTTCGTTCAATATATTCAAGCTGCTGTTGCGATTCAGTTCGTTTAAAGTTATGCATGGCGCTGAATGAAAAATCAATGGTTAGAAAAAGTTAAAGACCAAAAAGGATTACCACCAAAGCCAAATGGAGGGAGACGCATGAAAAGTCAGTAAGCGTTAAATCGTTTAAAAGCCTAAAAAGAAGTTTTCTTCTTACCTTTTTTTCTCGACGTGAACGAAGAAAAATTGGAGCACCGAAGAATATCGCGGGCAAACGCACATTGATTACGGTTATTTTGCATAAAATTCATTGTAATTAAAGTTACATCAAGCTTATATCACCCATTTTCCACTCATTCGACACTGAATTTCGTTTATTAATTATGTTTATCAAAATTATACGCATCGCACTTATGTACTGGTTTGAAACGCAGCATTTTTCAATGGATTCACGTTTCGGCACAATAAAAATATCCATAAATTCACGTCTATTGATTTTCGAAAAATCGTGTAGACCTGCGTTCATTGTCTAATTAAGATTTATAGCTTGTGCGTCATACGCTTTGTTTTACTCTCAATTAACTTGCCATCATTCTTGACGAATGCCCCATTATTGTATTTTTTTTTGTTCGTTTCTGGGTCGGTGTGAAATACGATTTCAGTACATAGCATTAGCATTACATTCCGTCATACTGTCAAATATTTCGTATTAATCGTGAACACTTCGTCTGGATGAAAGTGATACATTGAGAAGCGAAGAAATGCTCAAATTATTAACAAATATCATTTACGATTGCTACGAAGTTGTAATACTACATGTCGAAAACTTAACGAATGCAAAAAAACAAGCCTCAAACGAACGACAGAACGCACATACAACTCTTGCCAATGTCTATTAATGTTATTAGGAATTAAGTTGTGCTCGGTATCATTTACGTGCAATTTCAATGAGTTTCGTTTGGCCTCATAGAATTTCAATTTAGTTTTTTTCCCTCACGTTCTCTGCAATGCGAGTACTTTTGCGCCAATGTGATGACAATAGTAAAACCCAATCCAAGACAAATTGTTAATAAATTGTGCGAGTTTAGTACAAACGACCAAATCATTACGCTAAAAATATAAGTGGATGACAAAAACAAAAGTATGCACATTTTATGATGACAATGCGTGCCCCTCTCCCAAATAGCATACGAAATTTTCATCTACACCAACAGCATCATTGTTGCATGGTAAACAACGCACCCATAGTTATAATAGTTAGACACATTGGAATATTAGATACATCAGTTTTATAAATGCGAAACAAACTTAATTATATGAATTCAGCCAGAAGACGACACGCCGAATATGCCAAACATGAACATTTTTTTTACTGCATCATTCTATTGTATGCAGACAGTGAACGATGCTGAAAAACGTGCTGTAAAAAAACAACAGCGACACACTACCGAATTAGACGAGAGTGAAATAGCGGTGCCACCGTTGCTGAAGATTTTCCATATTTACTTTCATACAAAAAAGAATTTGCGTGTAGATTTAGATGCGTATGGCAGGGATGAGTTTTAGTCATCAGTCGATCGATAATTCACAACATTCTCATGCATACACACAAAGCAAATGTCGAAAAAAAGGAAAACAACCAAATTACACACACATATATACGCTTGTTTCTTCTGTGTTTAGTTTCTTTTCATTTGGCATCTCATCGCCCCTTGTTACTGAACATATGAAACATAGTCGGATTTTCGTTGGATTTTGCATGAGCACACACAACATCACTATCGCTATGCACGTCACAAATAAAACATAACCCATATTGTGCTCACATCTCTCTCGCCAGTCAGCCACCAAACCATCATCACACACACACACACACTATTCGTTCACTCTCGACAATGGTACACAAGCGCATTTTATGTGTACGAAAGAATACACTGGATTTTTGGATACCGAATGCCACTAGCTATATTTGCTGTTGTTAGGCTCGTTTATGCTGTTAGCATAAAACGCAGCACCATACAAATTTATCTACTGTCATGGCACTTAAAAACGAAAAACACACATGCCACATATACACCAAGAAAACATCACCAAATTTTTGTTGTTTGATTACCAAATGTGTACATTTGAATCATTGCATGATTTAGAAGCTCGAAAATGGAATATGCTTGTTTTCTTTCTCTTCGAGCTCCTAACTGTTAATTTACAGGCAATATCAAAATGATGCTTAGTAATTACGTCACTTGGAGCCACTTAATGAATTGAGTTATCTTTTTCTATTTCTAAAACGGCGTTAAATAATTACAACGTTGAATATCTCAACTTTATTTATTTTTGCGTAACGCTTTTAGTCTTGCTTTTAGTGACTGAGATGGTTTATAATTGTCGAGGTTTGAGCTGTTGATTGTGATCATCAAAAATATTAAGAGTGATTTTTACTGACAGCAAGTCGATATATTCAATATATTTATAACAAATTACCCCAAAATCAACCCAAACCAAAATTTTAGTAAGATTGATCATAGCAAACATAAGATCGAAGATACTTTTTGTCGATTTCAGTGAAATCTAAATGAATGAACATTGTTCGGCGAATTTATTGTATTTTTACGCATTTATCGAAAAATCTCATTCGTCAAACATAACACAAAATCAAAAAAAAAAAAACGAAAATTATCAAAGAGTACACATCATGGCAAATAATTCAGATATTTGGGGATCCCTCGGACAAGTTGTTGGTTATCTTGGTATTCTTGGATCCATATTTTTGGAAATATTCATGTCAATGGATGAATTAATTACTAGATGTACTGAAGGTTATGATCAATATCTTGTTCGTTTAGTTCGTATTGGTATCCAATTTTTTTCGAGTGAGTTTTCCTTCAGCCATCCATATTCGAACTTCTTTAATGGTTTGAACACTATTTACAATTTCAGTATTGAGTTTGGTCGCTAGCGTTTCGTTGTTGATTGGCATCTACAAAGTAAGAAGTTGACTTTCATGTTGAAATTTGCATTGTGACTATGTTATATAATTTGAATTTATTTATTTTTTCATCAGAGAAATGCTCGACAACTCAATGCATCATTGATTATTTTTGCCATAACTTTGCTACTTTTGTTTATACCTATTTTTATTTATTTGGTGAACAGAGAAGAAGGTCCACTTAATAAATTCGATGTTTTCTTTATTATTACAACTGGTAATATACTTATGCTGAATCACACTACAACGTGAAATATCTTAATGATTTTTTTTGACGGTTTTCAGTGATTAATTTCATTTTCTACTATTTACTGTGGGAAATCGTCAAACATCTAAGAGAGACTTTCTTCACTCACAGGTCACGATATCACTCTTTGCATAGTGTAAATCGGAGAATGCCGAATAATCATATTGCAACCAACCGATTTTCAGAAATATCGCGATTTGCCACTCCCAACTATTGTAACAAGTGCTATTCAAGATTTAGCTATTAATATTAAAGATTTATGGATCGTGCGGTCTATTTTCATGTTTTCGTGAAAATTTAATTGTAATCGTAGTAGGCAACTCAATTAATCGTAGTAAACATGGAATAGAAAGTTCTTACTTTTGTTTGTCAAATTCAATATTTAAAATCAGACATTAGAATAAACAATTGGCAAATCTACAGTATAACATACGGTTTCATCAAAAAATCAAATTTGTCAAAGATTTAATAAAAAAGATCAATAAAAAAATTCAAAAGAGTTCACATAATGGAAAATAGTCCCGACCGATGGAAAACATTTGGAAAAATATTTGGTTTGGCTGGTATTTTTGGAGCTATATTATTGGAGTCATTTATGTCCATGAATGACTTGATTACCAGTCAAACTGAAGGTTACGATCAAGATCTTGTTTGTTTAGTTCGTAACGGTATGTCATTTATAACGGGTGAGTTCCTTTAACTATCTTCATTTATTTTTGGCTAGATGTTTGGTCACGCCATTGGAAAGAGATGGGCATTTTGATCAAAAATGTCCATTTCTTCCATTTATTTGATATGGCACACACAAACGAGTATTCAGTATGATTGTGGAGGAAGATGACTGAATGACGAAGCTGGATATCTGGCCATTAATGAGCAATGTTTATAAATGATGACATACAAGTTTTCACAATTTAATGCAATTTCAGTAATGCATGTAGCCGCAAGCGCTTCGTTGCTATATGGCATCATCAAAGTAAGAAAGGGAGTTTATTTTACTTTTTAGTCTCAGATTGACTTGTATTAATTTGAATTAATTATTTTATTCAAAATTAGAAAAACATCACATATATCAATGCATCGTTGATTACTTTTACCGTATCATCGGTTTATTTGTTTTCAACGTTTCTTGCCTATTGGCTCAACAGAGAAGACGGCTCACTTAATAATTTCGATGTTTTCTTTATTGTTACATCGGGTAATATACTGCGCTGACAACGTGAAATAACCATAATTAGTTTTTTTTGATGTTTTTCAGTGGGTGAAATAATTTTCAATTCTCTAGCTCGGATGATCGGCAAGTCATTGAGAGAGAGCTTTTGCGGTTTCAGATCGAGACATCCAATGCTCTGTAACATAATGTGAATATATTATATGAAATACAGAATAATTTTGTTCATATTAAAATTAGCCGTTAAAAAGAGTAACGGACTTGCAACAATTCGATCAAATTGACGTCTATAACAAGAATAATATAGTTTTAATAATTGTGAATTGTTCACTTTGGCGGAAAAATAAGAAAACATCTTCTCCTCAGTACGTATACACATTCACACATCCCCAAAGTAAACACCCAAAATCAAAGATTTCTGCCTATGTAAAAACAAAGATTTTTCATACATTTTCGTATGAAAATAAATTCTTTCCAGTTTATTAAGTAGCATCCGGCACGACAACAATTTCATATAAGTCTATTTTTCATCGTTTATTCCGGGACGATGTGTACATGTGATGATTTATTTTGTGAAAAATGATTTCACATTCACAAAACCGCTCCATGACGAGCGCACACATACACGCGAACGCGTGTGGAAATGTTAATTAATGGTGTTAGTCGGTTCATTCGAGTTTTCGATTAAATTCGATGACAAATGGCAATAAATCGAGAAATGCTACAACATTAATTTCGGTTAATCGGTAAATGCTTCACTTTGCATATCAAACCATAAACGAATCGAAGCCAAGGGATGAACACTAACACACATACACAATGCCAGCTCACGCAAATGCGTTCAACACTGTCGAAGGGAGCAAGAGCTTAAAGAAGCTCGAAGAGGAATGAAATGGATTTTGACGGAGTCGTTGTTTAGCTCGGATGCTGCTTAAAATATCACTTCACATCGTATTGCCAATTCCATTGAGATAATTATCGATTTCTGCTTGAACTGCGATTTCACATTCACGCTAATTTTCAGCATGAAAGCTCATATCAATCGAGCAAATTAGTAATTTATTACTTGTAATTGCTTTTTGGTTTTTGAAGAAGTGGGTTAGAGACAGAGATGAAAACAGAGAATGAACAAAACCAACCGAATTGAGAATAGCTCTTGTATTTTCAATTTTGTATACATCAAATTCTATTTGCATCCAGAGAATTCAAACCAATAAATTGTCGAGTGTAGAGCAGCAGCAGCAGCCGCATCGGGTTTGCTTAACGTATGTTTGAGCTTGTATGTGTATACGTGTCTTTTTTGTTATTTGCATTTTGTATCAACAGTTTGTGTGTGCATGCTAATTCCATGGGTCTTCGTTGATATGAGTGAAAAGTAACAACAAAATTGAATATATCGTAATTTGTAAATCGCAAACACAATGAAGGCGGAGAGCTCCATTTAAATCATCATTCGCGCGAGGATTGTGTTTCTCATTTTCGATGTATTTCGTATGCATAGATATATATATGCAATAGAAATAGATAATGCAATAAACCATTTCGAGCCAAATACACACTTGCCACTTGAATCACGTTAAAATCAAAGTGCCTTTCAAGTTTGCTCAGGCCTGCATTTCGACTTTAGCTACTTATCAAATCGTCAGACGCGTGCAGGCGCGAGCGCGCACATACAACTCAAAACGCATATACTATGGCCAACAACGGCAAATAAACAACATTCAAACAACATAATTTAAATTGCAATTTATGTTTACATACAACTACTCATACTCGGGAACATTTGGTTGATATTTCTAGTGCGCCATCGTCGCATTCTTCACGCACAACACATTCACACTCACATACACACTTTGCAAATTCACCAACTATCTAAGGCCATCAAACTAACAATGTACATGTATTTTCTATTTTATACATGTGTATCAAGTTAGTTTTTGAAAGTAATTTATGAAATTTTGTGTGTTTATGACTTTAACTGAAGCATTAATAATGAAATTTGATTCATTCGTTGCATTCGAGTGAATGCAAATTGGGAATTTAACAATTTAGATAAAAAAGGGAATGGTTCGGATGTATGTTGTGAATGTGTCTATGTATGTGAATTTTGATTATATTCAGTGTATCTCGTTGGTAAATTGAAAATGCCGTGGAAAATAGGAAAATATTCAAATTTAAAATATGAAATCGGAGAGAAATCGCTTGCAAATTCATTCTATGTTATAGTATATAAATGATTAAACAAAAGCGCGTAACCAGGCATTTCAATATCATTGGAAGTCTCGTTTGTGTTTGCATGAACGCGCCCCACCAATAAAAGCATGTCTCGTTAATAGCATAAATAATAATTGCGATCTAACGAAAAGAAAAAGCAAAATGCCTGGGCCAAAATAGGAATTCCATTCCATTGAATGAAGAATGAATGGGCGAGAAAAAGCATACTGGAGATGGGGATGCTGTGGACTTCGATGCTTAGACTGTTGGTATGTGAACACGAATGAAAATTAATATTAACACATATAAATCATCATTGATGCGTTCGGTGTATTAAACTTCTCGACATTTTGGGTTTGAATGAGTGAACGGCTTGGTTTTGTAAACGTCAAAGCGTTTGCTCATTAATTCAACGGGAGCTTTTTTTATTAATTCGATTTTCCTGCATTTACGAACATATTTTCCAACAGTAACATGAGATGTACAGGTATTTTAACCGTACATTCGTTTTTATTCAATGTAACGTGCCCGCATCAAATTATACTGTATCGATATTCATGGGCATACAATTACAAACATGATGATGGTGATGATGATGACTGGCGAAAAATTATTTTATCATTTGTTTACGGAGGACGAAAAAGATAAATTTATACCACCCGCTAACAACTAAAACTTTACTCCTGAAGCAAAATCAACCGCGATGAGTTGCGCATTTTTTGGCACTGTCACCAAAAGTAATGATTCATGGGAAAAATTATGGATTCACGGGGCTGCCGCAATAATTAAATTGAATTGTATGGCCGATAAGGGAACAAAATTCAATGGAAATTTATTAATTTTCATCATGTTTGAATTAACACGAGGTAAACGATGATTGAATATAAATTCAACGGCGACGTGCACAACATTTTATTCGTCTTCGACTCTCTCTTCTTGTCTTTATACCAGTACAATAAAGAGAGTACCCGTCAACTTTCATTTGGAAAGGCTTCGAATTCGAATATTTGGATCATTCCTGTTCGTCGTGTTTTCAATTGATTAGCGTCGTTAAATACATGCACGCACGATTTTCACACCTTTTCTATCTGAATGTTCTCTTTTTCATTTGGTCTTTTTCATTCACTCGTCGAAATGGGAACTTAATTAGGGTTGATTTTAATTTTAGGTTTTTCTATTTTCCCACTTACATACGGACCCATGTCCTACTGGTCACAAAATAACCGAATGAAATCTACCAAAAGTATTCCATTATCAACCGCTTTCATCTTCGGTTTATATGTCTGTGTTATATCATTTGATTAACTGTTTGTCGTTATAACAAAGACCGATAATTTTGTTTCTATTGACACAACCAAAATGGAATAGTTTTGTTGTTGGTGGTGTTTTGAGAAATTTTCGGCCATGAAGCCCTCCGCACAATAGACAAATATTCCAGACTAAACATATCTATTCATTTTATTGACAATGTATTTGATTCTGCTCCAAAAACCTTCAACCGCACACACAAGCACACATTCACATACTCCATTTCCATGTGTATTATGATGGAATCGTCAACCAGACAACTATACATATATCGTTTTCGAAGCGAGACGAACGTCTCAAGAAACTTGATATGAATATAAAATGATTGAGCAAAAGAAGTTGAGAGAGAAAAAAAATGTGTAGTATAAATTTGAAGTGGACAGAAGTGGCAAAACCCATTTCAAGATCTTGAACTGTTGTCACATCGAAGGTTATTATATACAAATATTTGCAATTCAGATGGGCCATTTTCAAATATTCGATGTTACAGTGGTGATTTTATTTTTCTTCGCACTTATCATGACTTAACCTTTCTCTCGGTGTGGAGAAAATCTATTGAACCAAAATGACATTTCAAGTGTCAATATTTTGACTTCATGAAATAATTTAAATATTTTATTCCGTTACTTTTTTGGTAAAATGAAAAATTCATTATATTTTTTTCATTATTTTCGTGGGAGTCAATTCATATAGTAACTGTGCCCATGCACACGAGATGAAAGTGGATTAACAATTCAAGGCTACGATTCATCGACACGAGACATAGCAAGTTGATTCAAGAGTGTGATATAGTTTATGTCATTTATGTGTGAGGCACACACATACACGAACATTAAATGCACTTTGCATCACTTTGAAATTGGAAAATTCAATTCGGAAATGATGGTGAAACTCAATATATTGCAACATTGTTCTGAATCGTTCTCTCCATTCCGCAGTGCATATTGTGTTTTATTACATTATGGAGAATAGAAAGACCGTTCGACCGAAATGTAAATATTGTTTTATGTGTGTGTGTGCAAACCTTGATCCTTCTTATCATTAGTTTTGGAGAAAATTTACTCAGCACAGTATTTAAATTTTCGACTGGATATTTGCTCAAATTAAATTAAATATGTGTTGGCATTAATTTTCGAAATTGTTTGCATTTGTGTTGTTTCTAAGTCCATGTATTGCAAAAGTGCTGCTTTTGTTTTAAGTAAATCTGAAAATAGCCGAGCTGCAATGCATAGAGGCGAGAGAGCAAGAGATAGATTACGTATGGTATTCGAAGCTTATGTGACCTCAACTGTTTGAAATTGTGGAATCGGTTCATTTTGGAAAATGGTTTTCCGGTGCTGGAAATTTTGAATGTTCTTCTTCACTTGTTTAATGGCACTGGTGCAAAGAATATCGTCTATGATGGTACCAGGTTTTAAACAATCCATCTTTAAAGCATTTCATAAAATGCACCTTCTTCAATTATAATTTATTCAAATGCGTTCAAATTCGGTGCACTTTCAGACAGATAGATACGTACATACATATGCAAACAACACAATTTCAAACGTTTGCTTCATGGGCGAATGACGAATTTTTGTGTGAAATGGAAAACACAACACACCGCACTTTACCAGCTCCATTTATAAGATATAGGGTGATTTTGAATCTTTTGAACCGTGTACGTCAAAGACAAAGCATTGCTCTCAAATTAGCAAAGCAGCCGCACGCTGGCATGCTGTTCGAAATGTTTGATCCCATTAAATGCCCGAATCTATTTGAA